TTTTTTTTTTTTTTTTTTTTTTTGGGTAAAGTTGAAATTAAAAATATGAATTTTGTGGACTATTTATAAGGGCGGTGACTGGGATGCGTACGTATCTAGTCTCACCCACACGTAGGAATATATAAATTAATTTTATTTTTTTGTTTATTATTATATTATTCCATTTTATTTCAACTAAAAAACACAATAAAAAACAAAATTAAATCAATCAAGAAAATGACCAATTTCCCGTGCCAAATAATTATTGATATCCGTGTGGGGGAAATGAAAGCTTTATTTAAACATTAATAAATAAATAAAATTGCATGCGACAACGTGGTTGGTTTTATTTTTTAGAATATGGTTTAAACATATAAAATTTATTTTCAAAAAATGATCTTATCCACCTTGTAATTATTAAAACGGCTGCATATAAGATAAATATACCTTATTTTAAAATTTATATACTAAAAAATATCAATTCAGTATTAAAATTGAATAATATATACAAATCTATTTAGGTTGAATTTGTCATTTTCAATATAATAGTGGGTGAAATTTTATTATAAGATTTTATTTTTTTTTTTAAAGTTAAATATCATTTGAGTGATGTGTTAATGTGTCTAAATATTTTAAATAAAACCATAATTTATAACTTATTTTAACGTTTTGTTATTATATTTTAATTTATATTTTAGAAGGACCAGTTTGATAATATTATTTTATAAAATTGAGAATTTTAAATAATTAAAAAAAACTAAATAATTCTCATCGGATATCATCTTATAATTTTCCTAAACCATACATTAATATGCTAATAAACAGAGTCAAATTTTTAATATACAAATACTCCACAAAATTATAAAGATTTATTAAATATAAATATATATTTATTTTTAAAAAAAATATAAAATTTTAATTTATCAGAATTCCAATGCACATACCTCTCAAAATGGAGGGACTAAATTTATTAATATATTAAATTACGAATGAAATAAATATGTAACGTCTTTTAATCAATTAAATTATTAATAGTAAATAATTAATAAGAAAATTAAAAAGGTGGATGAATAAAATAATTGATTCATTTTTAATAATATAATTAAGAATATTTGAATATTTTGAGCATTAATACAGTAGTTAAAGCTCTCGGTACGTATCGATGTCAGTCTCACATGTTTAAAACAAGTCTGCTAGACAGATTTCACACCCTATTAAACAATGTTTGGTTTATTTCTTCAACTGATCTGACAATTAACAACAATAAAAAAATAAAAAAAAAAAAGTTGGATTTGACGGCATTATATATTTAATAAGAAAATCATTATGATTTTTTAGTACGCCAATCATTGGTCCAAATCAGATCTATACGGCCCAATATCCATCCATTTATTATTAATTCATACAATTTTATTAAATTCCTAATTATTTTGTTTTTTAGATAGCTATAATAATTAAAAGGAACACGCCGCCTGTATTAAATAAATAAAATTCAGATAATCCAGGTGGGATTTTATATTTAATCTATTAAATAAAAATAAAAATAAAAAAAAAGTGGAGATTTAAACATAAAATTAATCGATTAAAATATATATCAAAAACACAAAAAAAAATTAAATTGCCAAAAATACAAAAATACAACATTTAAATTTTTATAAATTTTTAAGTTTAAAGATAAAACAAAAAAACATAATTTGTGGTAATTGAATTATGTCGTATTTCATTTGATAGTAACCTCTCTAAATAATTTATAACAAATCTATTATTTTATTTTATTCGTACTTTTTTATAATTTAAAATTAAATAAATTTATATTTTAAATCAGGCTGTCATGGATGACGTACCTCTCCTCTTTATTGAAGCAGTGGAGGAAAGAATAATAATTAATGTTTTAATTATTATAATACGGAAACGTAATTTATATCTTTTTTTTTTAAGCATCTAATAAAGTTGGTGGGCAGTAATTAAGCATAAATTTGAGATTATTTTAAAAGAAAAAGTTTATAATTAATTACAGCGATTAATTTAATAAATTATAATATTTTTGGAAGAAACATGAATCAAATTTCTTTTTCGTCATTTTAAAAATTTATATATTTAATTTTTAATTAGTTTATCTCATAATGTGAACTAAAAATAAAATTCAACTAATTAAAATATAATAAAATTATACTTAAATTTGGAGAAAAATAAAATTTAAAATTAAGAGAGAGAGAGAGAGGGGCAGTGATTTGTAAGGGCAAAAGCAAAAGGCTGGCGGGGGCTGCGACTGGCACAAACAGGGCCTCTTATTATAGGCCCATCTCCATCATCACCATCATCACATTTCCCATGAACTTTTTGAATCCCTCCATTCCTTTTTCCACTAATTTTTAACTTCCCAATTCCCACTCTCTTTATCGGAAGTTGCGACTCTCTTGATTTCTTTACCACCTCCGTCGTCGATCTGTAAAGCGTCTGAGGAGATGGGTTAGGGGTTTTAGGATCGATTCGGATGAGATTTCATTGGGATTTTGATTTTGAGGGCTCCATGGTGAGCGGCGGGAAGATTCAATGGCGGAGACCTTTTGGAGAGGTTTTAGAATCAATGGTGGTTTTAGTTGCAGAAGCCATTATCGGAAAGTGAATCGGAAACGGAATCGGAATCGGAATCGGAATCAGCAGTCCATTCAAGCTGGAAGAGGGGTATCTCAAGGGTCTGAGTCTGGATCCAGATCATCATCGTCGCCGTCATCATCATCTTCTTCTTCATCGGCGGTACCGGAGTCGGGTTATAACGTTCGGTAAAGCAGGGGAAGAAGATAAAGAAGAAGATGAGCGGAACCTTCAGTTTTTATATGCGAGTTTAGACTCACGAGAAACCAAGAAGCGTCCCTGTTCTCCTCCGGTGTTGGATTCATCTCCCGCCGGGTGGAGCTTCCAAGATGAAGGAAGAATGGGGGAGTTCTGGAATCAACGGCCTGGTAAATCACCGAAACCGGGAGTAAGAAGCAGAGGCGGTGGCGGTGGCGGTGTAAGCGAAATCGTGGAGGTTCAAGGAGGTCGTATTGTTCGTTCGATTGGAAGGAAAGACCGTCACAGTAAAGTTTGCACGGCGAAAGGCACGAGGGACCGTCGTGTTAGACTTTCTGCTCATACTGCTATCGAGTTCTACGACGTGCAGGACCGCCTTGGCTACGACCGGCCGAGCAAGGCCGTCGACTGGCTGATCAAGAAGGCGAAACCCGCCATAGACAAGCTTCCAGAGCTTCCTGGATGGAATCCAAATGTTTTGGATACGAACACAGGAAAATCGGCAACGCACGAGGAGAAGAAGAACAGTGAATACAAGATTCCGGTTGCTAATCACCCGCCGGAGGGGAGTATCACGAGAAACAGTTATCGGAGAGCGAATTTCGTGTTCGGCAACGGTGGAATTTCGGAATGTACAATGCAGAATTTGGAGAAGACTTCAACAGAGGAAAACCCTAATAGCGATAACTCCTGTTTTCTACCGCCATCTTTCAATTCGGATTCGATCGTCGATAGCTTCAAATCGTTTATACCGATGACCACGACGGCAGCAGCAGGGACGCCGTCGTCGATTTTCGAGTTCGACACGTTCCCGCCGGATTTACAATCCAGAACCAGTAGCCGATCGCAAGATCTACGGCTTTCCTTACAGTCTCTTAAAGCCCCAAATTCAAATCTCGAATCGGAAGGAACTCAGCATCCAATTCCTCAAAATCATCAAAACGACCATTCATTTTTCTCTGGAACAACATCATTATATGGCTTCGATGAATGGTCGGAGCAGCAACCTCAATCGGCATTGGAAATCAACCGATTCCAGAGGATAATGCATCGGAACACGGTGAGTGCCGATCATAGTAGCGGCGGATACGGCGGAGACGCCGGAGATGGAGGTGTGAATGGAGAATTCTTCTACAACTCGCAGGTAACAACCTCGAATTTTCCGCCGGCGTCGCCATGTCTGCAACCGCTGTTTGGAGATAACCAATTGGTTTCTCAGAGGGGACCCCTTCAGTCCAGTTACACGCCCTCGATTCGCGCTTGGATAGACCCATCAATCACCTTCGTCGACAATCAACAACATCATGTAACTCCACAGTCGATGAACCCATCTTCATTTCCTGGTCTTGGATTCGCCTACGGCGGATTCTCCAGATTTGTAATTCCGGCGCTGATCCCGGGTGAAGAGGAACACGATGGCATGTCTGAAAAGCCATCCTCTGCTTCCTCCAACTCCCGCCATTGTTAAACAAAACTGCTCAAATCCCTCTATCCATTTCTGTAAGAAATCACAATACATCAATACACTGTTTTACTGAATTCCGCTTCTGAGCATCGTGAGTTCATCTGGAAGTTGTGTTTTTTGCAGGCTTGTGAAGTAATAAAGTCAGTTAAAGCTGCTGGCTGGGTTGTTTGCAGGGAGCAGGATCTGGGTGTGCTTCTCTAATTCATAGCTTTGTTCATGGTAAACAATGGTGGGTGTATTTTAATGGCGGAGAATTTACGTTTCCTAAGATTGTACAACATTTTCCAGTTCTTGTTCTGGCAGCTTTTTTCCCTTGTGTTTCATGATGATAATAATAAATAATAAATACATTATTGTTTTTTTAAATAATTTAATATCTAAATGAAATTGTATATAATATGCTCGTACTTATTAAATTTAAATTATTGATTTCAGCGGGTTCGAACCCGTGACCTTCCGCTCATGAGAGCTCCAACGCTCTAACCATTTGAGCTATACAACATTAGAGGTTGTAATTAAATCAATGCTTAAATGAAAATAATATAATAATAAATTTAAAAATAATAAGTATATTGAGAGCTTATTAAATATTTATACCTCGAAAAACCGGCCACTTTCTGCTCATGAGACCAATGTTTTAATTAAATCAATATTTAATATGAAACTATGATTGGTTTTGGCGGGGTTTGAACTCGCGACCTTCGTTTTGAATTACAAAACCTCAATGGTTTAAATTAAAATTAATATTTATATCAAAACATATATTTATAAAATTATATTTAATATTTATATTAGGAGTTTAGTAAATATTTATAAATCTTCCTAAAAAAAATTAGAATAATATAATAGTACATTTGTAAATTTAAAAAAATTAATTTGAGAACTTAATAAATTATTAAATTGGTGAATTTATATTTCTTTTTTCTTTATTCAATACTTTTTTGAGAAAGTAACCTAAACAATATCTCTTATTTGCTTCAACTTTGTCCGTTTTAGCCTACGCCGGTTAGTGAGAGACTTTCACACCCTTAAAGAAATGGTTTGTTTCCCTCTTCAACCGAGAATCTCATAATCTACCTCCCTTAGGACTCAACATTCTCGTTGGCACACCACTCGCTACTTTGACCTATTATGACAGTCAAGCTCACCACTAATAGATATTGTCCACTTTGACCTATTATGTATTATTGTTAGTCTCAAGATTTTTAAAATGTGTCTGTTACGGAAAGGTTTTCACACCCATATAAGGAATGTTTCATTCTCTCTCCAACCGATGTGGGATCTCATATAACCTGACCAGTCTTCCCCATCCAGAACTCGTGCAAAGATCACAACAAAAAAATGAAGCACCTTCACAAGACCTCTTGCTTTTGAATAAGAGACCGATTTGATTCATAAAACTTGCAAGTGCTTGCTGCATAGAGCCTCACCTCGAATGAAACACCATAAAGCCTCCCTCGAGTCCTATAGAGCCATCGAACAACCTCCCCTTAATCAAGGCTCGACTCCTTCTGTAGACTCCGAACAAAGTACACCGTAGAGCCTCCCTTAAGGTTCATGAAGCTCTCGAATAGCCTCCTCTTAATAGCAGCTCGACTCCTCTAGAGCCCTCACCCTTTGTCTGACACTTTTGTTTTTGACTCCAGGAATAGTTTCTTTGATAGAATCTAGAATATTCAACGTTTCGTAAAGAGACGATTACGTTTCTTGCATAAATATTTGAATTTCTTTCTATTATTTATTTCCTGTAATCAGAAGCAAATAAAAGAGAGAGCAGAACAGTAGTTGTATTACATTACATTGCCTCAGCATGGAGAGTATGTGCAAAAACATCAGGAAACTTAAATGAACAAACCCCCTGCATATATAACTCAAAAACACCACCTGATCTATGACCAACCAAATACATAATCAAGAACATAGACCAGCACCAGAGAGAGGGGGTAGAGAAGGAGAGCCACCAGAGCTGTCCAGAGCGGGAATGCGGTTCGGAAGCTACCGAGAAGTCCCATTATAACCGTAACGACCAGAATGACCAGCACTTCCGACGAAAAGTTCCAAACCAATCCTCTCATATAAACAAGAGCCAAGAAGACTGATAGGCAGAGAACATTGTTCATTGTCACTGCTCCATATAGCTGCACCATCAAAAGCTTAGAGTTCAACCATTCTTCCAAGTACGAGCAAAGAAATGAAATGTTAGTGTGTAAAAGAGAACGAACCTCAGAAAATGTTAAAGAGGCAGTTTTTCGCTTGTCCCGGCTTGCGAAGATTATAGCAGAGACTGCTTCACTGGAATTGGTTGCTAATGGCAGAGCGATAAACGAAATAAAGAACGCTGGGATGTTAGTTGCATTAGAGAAGTTATGTACGACGTCGACCAACGGGTCGGCAAATGCAGCAGCAATGGCAGTTCCAAGTAACAAGAAGAGTATAGCTTTGATCAAGACCCCTTTGCCCCCCTCAACATCCTCTACGACCTCGTCGCTTTGTTCCCCGACATCCAGTAAATCGTGCTCTCGCTTTGTTTCCTGTAGATACATTACGTCGTGGTTCAGAAAGCAACCTCAAAAGTTAAAAAGGAAAACTGCAACGAACGGGTTTACGACGTACTTGATGAAAGTTATGCAGGAACTTCATTGTGTGAGGACCATCATCAGCTCGGCCAGTTCTTGAACCTTGTACTTGAGAAAGCCACTTAATGATTCCATTGCCAAACTCGGTAGCATCGACATGGGAATCACGAGAAGTATCGAAATCATTCAGTATTTTTTCAACAGCATCTTCGTGATCTAAGTCGAGCTCCTCGAACTGGATACCGACTATAAGCGCTCTCAGTTCAGAAGCTGAAAGACGTCCATCCTTGTTCTCATCAATTCTTGAAAATAGCCTGCCATTGTGTTTATTGAGCAAGTATCAGAATGTGATGAACTAGTAAAGCAACGATAAACATGAAGAATTGAACTTGTGGTTCCAACGAACTTGTCTATTATCTCTTTATCTGGCTCCCCATTTTCTGTCAGGAGTCTTCCAAGTGCTTGCTGTTTTAAATGTCTTAAAAGTCCAAATATAACATGCTTGTGCTTCACAAAGGCAAGTTTCCTCCTTTGGATCCATGGCTGGAAGACCTGCACAAAGGAGCAAGTTTGAAATGGTTAAACTCGAAATCATTTCAAAAGGTACTCTTAACCGGCTATAGCTTTTCGACTTGGGAAGATCAGAATAGCTGCCTGTTCGAGTTAGAGTTATGCATTTCGGTTTTGATATAGAGAATCCTTCCTCGAAGGTGTTAAGTACTTAGCAATTCAGAAGTTATCAGTAAGTCCAGCAGGCCCCATCTTAAAGGGAAAAAAGAGGTAAGAGTTAGAAAAAGCACCTGGTAAAGGCAATAGATAACGAACATTGAAATGGAGATTATAAGAGCAATCAACACTGCCAAGTGCCTTCCTGATGTTGAATTCAGCATTTGTGGAAGTTGAACTATTAAAAATGGAACAACAGATATAACCATAATCCTGGCAGCATAGCTCGTCCAAATATCAGTGCTGACTCCAGATTCTATCAAAGAAGAAATTCCAATGTAAATTTGTGCATCAACTATATGTATAAGAAGAACAGAACTTTTACTAGGCAACTGATGGAATAAGATTCCCTCCCAACTCTCCCTCTAAAAACAGAGGCATATACGAACATAAACAGACATCTTGGAATTTGGCGAAGGTATTTACTGTGAGATCCCACATCGGTTGGGGAGGAGAACGAAGCATTCTTTATAAGGGTGTGAAAACCTCTCCCTAGCAGACGCGTTTTAAAAACCTTGAGGGGAAGCCCAAGGACAATATCGGCTAGCGGTAGGCTTGGGCTATTACAAATGATATCAGAGTCAGACACCGGGCGATGTGTCAGCGAGGAGGCTAAGCCCCGAAAGGGGGTGGACATGAGGTGGTGTGCCAGAAAGGACGATGGATCCTGAAGTAGGTGGATTGGGGGGTCCCACATCGATTGGAGAAGGGAACGAGTGCCAACGAGAATGCTGGGCCCCGAAGGAGGGTGGAATGTGAGATCCCACATCGGTTGGGGAAGAGAACGAAACATTATTTATAAGGGTGTGGAAACCTCTCCCTAACAGACGCGTTTTAAAAATTGGAAAACCCAAAGAGGACAATACCTACTAGCGGTGAGCTTGAGCTGTTACATATACAAAAGGTGAAGACAACTAAGAGAAAATGACATACCAGTCAAGCTAAACCCTTTTGTATCCTGTGAGTCAATGGCAACCGAACCCTCAAGGTCACACTTCCCAACGATCACACATGTACCCCAGATCAGTGTAAGAAGCATAACAGTTGAGCCAGCTAGTAGGCCCATTCCAACGGAGACCTGGCTTTGTGCAACTTCAGCACTTCCTGCAAGACCAGAAACTATAGAAAGGAGACGATTAGAGGGTTATCAGAAACCATGAACAGAGATAAAGAAATAGGAGAAACTAAAATAATAATCATTCTAATGAGAATGACCAATTCACACATAGAAACTTGATGCTTGTTTTATCATCCTTCGAATTCGAATCAATTGGTGAAAGTCTCTATATAAAGTATAAACGATTCAACAAACAAAAAGACAACAGATATTAGAGGATGATCCACATTGAAAACAAGGGGAGGTGGCAATACTGAAATTTTGAAATGAATTGTGCCCAGTTCGGGAGCTGATGGCTAAGCTTTCAAAAAGGTGTCAATCCAAGACAAAGGAACGAGAGTCGTTCCTGTTCTTGATGTTGAGGTCTAACCGACAAGGTTTATATCAAAGCAGCAACAATTGAGGTACGATGAAGTTGATATCAATGAATAGCCACAAAAGTAAGCAAACCCAAACACAATAAAGTAAAAGTGTAGAAGCAAATAGAACTTCAAACAACGAACACTCAAACATTTATGAATCTTTTTGGGGTAAATTCCCGAAACTTCTTTTGAAAAAGTAGCCAAGAAAAAACAAAAGAGAACCCACTATTTATGTTAGAATCTAATTCTATTTCCACTGCGTTTAAGAAATAGCCGATTCAATTTCTGCAATCAAACACTTCACGAATGGAAAACGAAAGTAAAATATAGATCTATCGTTTATTTTGCACTCCAAACATTTTGCTATCAAAACCCTACCCGATTTACTAATCCATATCGTCTTTGTCTGGATCGTAAAATCAGAACAACACATCAATTTCACTAATCAAACGATCGTGTTCTCGACAAATCGTATGAGCCAATCCATTTGAATACGCATCACATTCGATTATAGGTCGAAACCCATCAAAATGCAAAACAAAAAGTTTAAGAAGAAACAA